TGCGTAAGTAGGGTGAACATAAATGTATCACTTTCAATATATGATCGATTTCATGTATTTTCACATCCCAACAAGGTTGTATTTTGGGAGCGGAAATTTAAAAACTACTGGTATATGCAGCGAAGGACGTTTGCTGTACCATTATATGCTCTGGTTCTGCATAGGTTCCCTCATATTTCCGTTTTATAATATAATCAAGATAATTTGCAAAATATCGCTAGCTGCTTTTATCAGAAGTGCTGTGTTTAAAGATACAGCATGGTCATAGGGAACGGCGAGGGGGCATGAGGAACACAGCCACACCAGACATAATATAAACAACTTCTGCAAAGAAAATGAACGGAAACTGCAAATAATTGGAATTTTTCTAAGTGCAAGGGGCATAACTCTGTCCAAAATGGCCCGATCGTACCAAAAATATTAACTGACCTAGATTATTATATATTATCCTTATGATAAATCTGTATACCAAAATTCATTTCAATATGTGCAACCTCTGCGAAGAAAATAAACGGAAACTGATGGTGGACCAACCAACAGACTGACAGACCAACCGACGGACAGCAGCAAAGCAATATGCCCTCCCTTCTTCGAAGGGGCATAAAAATTGAGTAATCAAAGGAAGTCAAGAACTTTTGTATCATTTAATAAATTAAAAGCGTTAGCAATATGATGCTATTTAACTATTTTTATTCCTACAGACATTGAATTACCATACAAGTTTAATATAGACATGCTTTGGCACAAAAGAAATGTTCCTAGAAGGTCTTTACAATATTTGAATGTACTGTAGAATGATTTCTATGGAATGTAAATATTAGTGGTAATACTATGTATGATTAATACATGTTATAAGAAATCTCCTTTAAAATTGCACGGTCTAATCACCATTATATCTTCATGGCACTAAAGTCATCAATCATCCTGAAAAAATAATATAGAAATTAAGTTGAATGTTAACTGTGTCATTATTTCATAGTTTGTCCCAAAATTCTGGGTCTGATTTGTGTAAACATTTCTGGTTGCATTTGACACATTTAAAACGCAATGCTGAACTGTTTGTTACAATTAGAATCACACTGGTTGTCAAACAATTTCCAGTATGACAATTCATTCATACATGTACTATGGAATCATCATTGCACTCAAGGGGTATGAAAGTTTGGACTTTGTGTGTTATCCTTATACCAATGCACTTACATCAACACAAACAATGTCCAGGTATCAGTTCATTGAATCTTTTTCATATACAAGTTACCAACTAAAATTATGTTCCAAAAGGAAAAATTTTTTGTCATCAACATGCAAACATTGCTCCCCAATCCCAAGATTCCATAAAAATTTGTTCTGTTTAAAAGATCATGAGCAAAATAATAAAATTTTCATTAAAAATATAAATTGCTGCCTTGGTAGCAATTATGATGTTTCTTTGCAAATGCCAATTTATTGCAAAGTAAAGAATTGAATTTGCATATCTTATCAATCTTATAAATCTTATAAATATATTTGAAGGGGGGGGGGGGGGGGGCATGAGTGACTTACCCATTCATCTTCATCCACCCCCTCAGCCAGATCCTGGGGGAGAGGGTCCTCTTGTTTACTCAGCTTGTTAGTCATAGCACTCAGCAACTGAATTTAAAATAACCATGGTAACTGTAAAGTTATCATTGTAAAGTACATGTGTACATTTTAACAAAAGGAATAACATTACAATATGGAGTGGAAATGGGGGTGGAGGTGTTAGTGGGAGTGGGAGAGAAAAAATATTTTATTAACGCAATTATGCTGAAATAAAATTCATCCTGATTTTGTGGTCTTTTCCCCTGCTCAAATAAAATTGCAGCAAATGTTCATGATATAATTCAAAGCTAAACATAAGCAACATGTACAGCTGTATGTATCATATATTCAACATACATCTAAAACATAAGTTTATCATAAAATGTGTTTTACATATTACAATGTACTCATTTTATATCATAGACACATATTGCAATTCTGTTAAATTATATATAATTTTCATTTAATTCCAAACTATTCCAAAATAACGGTGAGATACCTCTTCCTTCTTTTGTTCATCTGTTTTATAGGTCTCTGGATTATAGCTGTCAAACTTCTTCACTTTGTGTGTTTCTTTTGGTGCCAAGCTCACTGAAACAGGATGCACATGTCTTTTATTCGGTTGGTTACTTGAAACAAGATTTATACTCTAAATAAATACTACTGAAAGACACAAAATGCTAAATATATTCACAGTCAAACTACATTATCTAAATCTTGAACGGACCTGGAAAAACTTCGAGATACTGTGAAATCACAAATTTTTGTGGGGGGTTAATTTTCGTTGTTTTCAAGGTGTGAAGAGACCCACAAATCCATGTCCACCATGAAATGTAAAATGCTACATACAAAACTACTTAACAATTCTTCATCCTAGAAATCAAATCCCCACGAACCAAGAGTTTTTACTCAAACCATGAAAAATTGACTCCACGAAAATATGTGATTTTACAGTATTCAAAATTCAAGATCTCCAGTGAAAAATACTTAAGATATAAGTACTTGGGACTTCAAAATCAGTTAAAAATATCCATGGTATTCGAGATATCTGTGTTCAAGACACTGAAGTTCAACTGTAGTTACATATGTACAATGAACAGTGCAATACCATAAGGAATGTTGCCTATTTTATCCCCTCACAAAGAAGGTGTAGATATAGTGAAACACTTGTGGGTGGGTGGGTGAATGAGTGCATGCATATTAAATGGAAGTAACACAA